TTATTGCACCAAAAAGTGCCGCACAACTGAAAACTCAACTCAACCTCTAGCACCTCTAAACGACTCAACATCATCACAAGAATAAAAAAGTTTTTTTTAATTGATTGATTTTTTAATTGTTATTATTGATTGTTTTTTTAATTGTTATTGTTGATTGCTTTTCGTTTTTTTAATAAAGTATTGCTTTAATTACACATACATTTGCGTATTTCATTCTACCTATATGTAGGTGTAGAATGGAATAAGTTTTTTTTTAATCAAGTAAAGTTTTATAAAAAACTTTAATTTTTATTTTTTTATTTTTATTTATTCAAATACAAATCAATATTCTCTACAACTTTTAAAAAAATTACAAAAAAATTTTTTTCCATAAAAAAAAAAAATGATTAAAATCCTTAACTATTCCATTTGACCCCATTTTACTATAATTTAATTTAGATTTAAGAAATATATAATTTAATTTTTATTTAAAAAATATATTTACGTTTATTAAAATTAAAGTTAATGTTTGGGTTTAACTGTCAAATTTATTTTAAAAAATAACTAAATATTATTAAATACTAAAATTTTATTTGTTCTTAAAAAAAAATTAAGTCATTTTTATTGCAATTGTTTTTTTGGTTTTTTTTCCTAAACAATTTTTTTTTTACTCAAAATTAAATTTTAAATAAACAGCAGCATCTGTTTTTTAATAAATGCATTTTTTTAAATAAATGATATATGTAGCAATATAATTTTAACAAATGATGTTTGGAAAAATAATTTTTGCTTTGTTAATAAAATAAATAAAGTATAAATAAATATAAACAAAATAAATAAATAAAAATAATTTTTGCTTTCACAAAAAAGTTGTTAATAAAATAAATAAAGTGAATAAATAAAAGTAATTTTTTAGCTAACTTCTTAACTCACTAACTTTTTTTAAATAAAAAATCATTTGTAGTTGTAAACCCGCAATTACAAATTTAAGAAATAATCATTTAAAAATTCAAAAATTTAACATATTTTAATTCATTAAAGCAAAAGTCAAAATTTGGTAATATCAAACATTTTTTTAAATGTAATATCAAATTTAATTATTTGATATTAAAAAAATAAATTTTCTCTAATAGTAATGATAAAAAAGAAGTTAAATAACATTTATCTTGTTTTGCAGTAATTAATACTATTGTAGTAATTTAAAAAAGTTAATGTCTTTAAAAAATAAAGAGAATTTTATGATGTCATTTTCACATTAGGCTATTGCATTAAGCATTTTTAATTTAAAACAAGGCCTGTAGTCCTGCATTGTATCGAAAAACTTTGTCCATAAACTGTAGTTTTAAACCGTTTACAAATAGTAGTTGTAAACGTTTACAAACCAGACCAAAAAAAGTTTGAAAATTTAAATAGTGTTTTTTTAAAATGATAGATTGCTTGCCTAAACCAAAACCTCAGTCAATGTAACAGCACTTTCTTGTAGCAGCAGGCTATAAGATAGTCAATGTAGCAGCACACTCCTGTAGCAGCAAGCTGTAAGATAGTTGATGTAGCAACACTTCTTGCATGTTTTACAGTAAAAAATCAACATTCCTCACATGTTTTACCTATTTTTCATGTATTACCTATTTGTCAGTCGATGTAGCAACACTCCTTGCAGGTTTTAAAAATATTATAAAACAATAAAAAAACAAAAGCAAAACTGTTAATTGAATAAATTTTTAAGTCATTATTATTGCAGTGTTGAAAAAACAATTAAACTTTATTTACTTCTGTATTATTTTAATTGTTTTATTTTTTAGACAACATTAAAATATCACTTAATTGTTGATGTCGCTTAAATGTTAAAAAAAAAGTTGACGTATGATATTTATATATATATATATATATATATATATATATATATATATATATATATATATATATATATATATATATATATATATATATATATATATATATATATATATATATATATATATATATATATATATATATATATATATATATATATATATATATATATATATATATATATATATATATATATATATATATATACATATATATATATATATATATATATATATATATATATATATATATATATATATATATATATATATATATATATATATATATATATATATATATATATATATATATATATATACAACCCTCGGATTTAGGAAAAATGAGGTCGGCAATAATTTGCCCATCTCAATCGGCATCAGGTCAGCAAAAATTATTTAATACAAAGGTCTAACCATAAAACATAGAAACGAGGTCAAACACTTTCAGGTCAGCAGTTAGGTCGGCATTGCCAAATGCCGACCCTAATAAAAAAAAAAATACTTATATAAATATAAAAAAATATATATTAGTCATTAATGTTATTATAAAAAATCATTAGCAGTGATTCGTTACTTTATTTAAATGCGTTTTAATAATATAAAAACAGTAAAGATCAAAGTTATTTAATTCTAACGGCTTTTAAAAAAGTTTTGTCTCTTTTTTCTTCTCAACAAAAACTTTAATGATTCTTATATAAAGTTTAATAAAGGGACCTCCGCTGTTAAAAAAGTTTCAGATTGCTAAAATTATGTCATCTGGTTCTTAGACCATTAAAAATGATAGTCAAGGCTTTTTCATAAACCGTTGAAGCTACAATTTCTTTGCGTATGTGATGTCACTTTGTGGCAAAAAACTAGAAAAAAAAACTAGAAAAAAAACTATATTTTTATTACTATTGTAATAATTACAATCTCTTATCCGTGAAATAATATATCTGTACCATTTTTATATATTTTTATACATTTGTATGCAACAAAAATAAAATTAATCAAAAATTGTAAGATAAATGCAAAAGAAACTTGACGCATAAAGGTTTATTTTTTCACAAACCGACATCAATGCGCAAAATATTTTTTGCTTAACTTTTAGATCAAGGTTTAATATTATTCTTTAGTTTGTAATCATAATAATAAGAATTAACTTTTTTTTATGAATATGTTTTAGTGGTCTAAAATCTTCTTAGTTCCATTTGTATAGCAAATATATATATATATATATATATATATATATATATATATATATATATATATATATATATATATATATATATATATATATATATATATATATACAGTGTGGAAAATAAGAAATCAAAGGCTAGACAAGGCTAGAAGGTTAGACCGGCTAACACATGAATTTAACGGACATTTGTTTTTTTTGGACGATCAAAATTTTTGATTTTTTCTTTGTTCAAATTTTTGTCTGAGTAATAGTTCTTCATTATTGAAACTAAACACAAAAAATACGTTTGTTAATTTTTTTTAAAAAAACAAACTCGTATTCTTTTTAAAACAACAATTTTAAATAAAATCAATTTTTTTTTAAGTTTTAAACTTGCAAATAACTAACACTCAAATTACCTGCTAATATTGATTTGTTTAAAATTATGCTCGCGCACACAGATTTTCATTCAATAAAAAAAAAGATGGATAATATCCAATTAATCTAATGTTTGATTTTTTTTTTTAAATATCAAAACAAATTTTATACAATATTAAAAAAATTTAAACTGAATACTTAATACTAAAAGAAATTGCTATATGCCATTAAAAAATGAAGGCCTTGTTTGTCTCTTTATTCACCTTCATTAGGACGGGTTGACATTTGATGTCTCTATTACAAAAAGAATGAAAAAAAAAAGTAAACGCGCAACTGATCATTTCAAATTTATTTTTAAATAATTCATTCATTGCAATGGCTTTGCATCTGTGGGAAAAAACTACAAAAAAAATAAATTAAAAAGATTAAATTAAAAAAGTACAGTATGTAGAGAAAATGTTCTTAGTTACAAACAAAAATTTTAAATAATAATTTTATCTCTGATTTTAATGAGCATAGATCTCTGCTCATTTGAAAAACTGTAAAAATTAGTTATTTATAACTTTATTCACACTCGTGCGAAAATATTTTACCAACTTGATACTTAACACTAAGGAATTGTTTTACAAAACACTACAAAACAAACTACAAAAATACTTGTGTTACATAAAACAAGATTTTACTAAATGTATATATTTTTAAGAATCCTTTTAAAGAAAATTTTAAATTTACCTATGAATCATTCACTCATTTATTACATTACATAAATCATTCATTCATTTACTACATTTGCAGCAAAAACTTACAAGAAAATAAACAAAAAGATTTAAAGAAAAAACAGTTGTATTTATTTTAAAGAAAAAACAATTGTATTTAAAAAAAAAATCTCAGTTAAATTATTAAATATTTACAGCAATTATTAAATATTTTTATAATATAAAAATAATATATTAAATACTTTAATTAAAACAATAATAAAATAAGAACTTCAATCATTCATTAAAAGAAGTTATTAATCACCAGTAAAATAAAAGTAATTTAAGTGAAGCAAAATAATAATAATAATGATGTCATAAACTCGTCACCAAAGCAACATGTTGTATACAATAAAACTATTTTAAAAGCTTATTTAAAATTAGTGATTTTATGAAATTTTATCATATACATATTTTAAATTACATGAATATTTGCAAAATCTTGTTTTTTAAAACTCTGAATTTTTTTCAACCAGTCAAATATAACCATTAAGAATTAATTTTTAGGAAAGTTTTATTCTTGTTATACGTTTAAATTTAATACAAACGGCTGCGTATAAACTTTTAAAAATATATACATTTTTTTTATTTTAATATATATTATTCAATATTTTGCTGATCTATTCTGATCAGCATCATCAGGAATAATAAATTTAAAAAAAACATTAAAATTCTTTTAAATGTTATTTTTTTTACGGTTTGTTTTTATTATAACGATTAATTTGTAATGATTTTTATTTATTATAACTGATGACACTGATCACAATAGATCAGCGAAATATTGTTATATATATATATATATATATATATATATATATATATATATATATATATATATATATATATATATATATATATAACTTTTTGACTTACACGATCTGATGGAAAACAACCTTCTTCAAATAAAATTTTATGTCTTGATAATGTTGGTCTGTAAAATGGAACCTAAAAAGTGATCAGTTTAAAAAACAAAAAATGTCTGCTAGTATTAATTTTTGTCACTTAATTCTAATAAACAATCACCATAAGTAAGTGTAAATTTGTAGTTAATGAATCCATTGAAACAACTTCAATAGGTTTCGCACCAACCAATGCTGCCAATTGATCAATAACAAAAGCATCAATATGTTCCCATGGTCTCTTCCCGTAGTAACGTCCTTGTTGACCGCTAAGTTAAAAAAAATTTTAAAAATTTTAATAAAACATAAAAAAATTTCAATACTTTAAAATCTTTGTTAAAAATATTTTATAGAACTGAACGTTGTTTATTTGCAATATTAACATTTGTGATTTGTATTAACAAAACGTTTTGTTAGGGAAAAAGTTTATTTAATGGAAAACAAAACAAAACAAAACTGAGAACCAGATAAACTGTAGAATTTATAAAACTGAAGATGACAAATTTCATTAGGATGACAAATTTTATTAAAGATGACATATAAAAATAAAACTTAAACTAAAAAATGGGTTTAAAATATATTAAAGCTTTCCTTGGAAATAAATTTGTCACCTCTTTTTCTTAAAGAAAGCCTAATAATAATGCAATAAACCAATCAATCAATCAATCATATTTATTGACAGGCTCAAGGCCCAATATAATAAATATACAACGGGTAAAATAAAGTGGATATAAAAAAATGACGCACTTGAATTTTAAACAACTTAAACGACTTAAACAAAAATGACTTAAACAAAACCCAGAAAAAAATTTCAAAAAAGTGTTAAAAATATAACTCAGCTCTCCATTTAATCAACAATGGAGACTGCAAGAACCTGTCAGAGTTAACGAAAGCTTTTATGATGAGGTTCTCACTATTCTGCAGCAGTAACAATGAAGAGTATTGTTGCTTACAAATAACAGCATTAAGTGAATGAGCACCATGTTTCACAAATAATTCACTAGCACTGTTCTATGGTATCTTGTTCAATATCAAGCGAAGTGCATTATTATATGCACTGCATAGACAATGAAATGAGTCTTTTCTCCAAAGATACCATAACTGACACCCATAGATTGGGCTGCAAAAGGCATTAAATACATGATCTTTGTTTTTATTTGTGTAGAACTGAACTTTCTTTGAATGAGATTTGCTTTAGCATACATAAAACATACTTGTTTTAAGATATCTTTGTCATCCAGCATATTGTTTGAGATCAGGTATTTATAATGACAAGTGTATGTGAGAACCTTGTCAGATAAGGTGAAACATGGGCTATTTACAAGGGGTTCATAAATTTTAAAGAACATTATTTGAGACTTAATACTGTTATAAACTATATCATCTTTTTCAGCATAACTAGAGCATAAGTCATATGGTAGTTTTATTGAGTAGAACACTAAGATCGTTAATATATATTAAATAGAAGAGGAGAAGTACCCCTCCTTGACGCACTCCATTACTGATATTAAATATTTTGGATAATATACCATTCCATAGGATCTGAGCTGTTTGACCAGCATACCAGACAATGAGTAAGCGCAAAGTTACACCAGAGATAGTTCTAGATAGTTTTATAAATAGTGTGTCAAATCGAATTCTATCAAAGGCCTTACTAATGTCAATAAATGCCACATGCATATTTGAGCCATGTGACAGGTAAAAATTTAAAATATCTTTTAAAATAAGAACTGGCATAAAAGTGCTATGGTTTTTCTTGAATCCGAATTGATTGGGAGCCCCAGTGAAACTTTCATTAACGCCTGAGACAAAAATATGTTCCAAAATCTTGGAGAAAATTGTAACCAGAGCAATTGGACGATAATTAGCAGAATCGAAAATGTTAATGTAATTTGGGCTAGCATAGAGATAATGCTCTAACTGAAGTCCAAAATGGTCAGCTGCTTTTCCACAGGTCATATGATTTATGATAGATTAGATTTCATCAGAAGTGACAAGATAGGCATCATCCTTAAGCAGATTACAGTGTTTAACTATAAAGGTGTCATTTATATTGCATGTTGGCTTGACTGAGCTAAACAGAGTGCAATAGTTATTATACCAAATGTGACATACATTATCAGGACCTAATGCAGAGTCAATAGAAGGCGGAAGACTACATTTATCGTTGCAAATACAGGTCACGGTAGACCAGAAACTAGTATAGTTTTTATACGCTAAACTGTTTGCAAGCTTTTCTGCTTTTATAGTATCTTCTTTTTTTTTTGCAGCAACGAATGGCATATTTATATAAGGCTCTTGCATTTTTAAAAAAATTGAAGATTGGGCCATTTTTTGGTTTATTATAGCTACGCCATAGACAGAACGCATCTTAAGCATCTTTAGAGCATCTCTTACATAATCCGTCCTACCTGGCATAGGTTGTTTTTTATTGAAACTTGATTTAGAATGGTTAAGACACTGAGACAAAGATTGAGTTAGACATTCATTTAGTATATTGTACAGGTAGTTAATCTGCTTAACATGCTCAAGCGAGTTACAATGTACATTACTACAGTTAATTACCTCAAACTGATCCATGTTAATTGAAGACACTAAGTTAAACACAGTGAAAGTATACTTCTTTATCATAGTGGTTGGCAGAGCATTAAAATTTATTTTAGGAGATCTTGTCGAAGTAGGGTGAGCAGTAGAGGAGGAAGATATATCAATTTTAAACAAGATATCAAATACTAGAGGTAAATGATCAGATGAACTAGTTGAGTGAATTATTTCAAAGTTATTAACATAGGATAGAGAAAGAGGTGCCCCATGCTTCGCTAACAAAGGTAAAGGAATCATGTGGAAGACAGATATCAGCTGTAACAAGATGTTTGTTAGCACAAAAATCAACTAGGAGACTACTACATGGAGACTGAAATCGTGGATCACAATTAAAGTCAACAGTAATATCAAATTTACTATTCAAATCTGAGATAAGAGCTGAAAGACTACCAAGGCATTCAAGATACTTATCAATATTCTCATATGAATCATAAGGCATGTAGACATTGATAATTGTAAACTTATCAGAAAGGTTATTAACAAGTTGGATAGCAACAGATCATGAATTATCAGTAGTAACTACTTGAGTTCTGCAGAAGACAGAATAAGGGCACAAGAAAGCAACACCACCAAACAGTCTGCCACGAACAAAACCTGCTGAAGAATCAGTTGGAGACACTTAAAAGCCAAAAAAACAGGGTACAATGTTGTTCAAGAAACTAAGTTCCGTGTTAAGTAACCAAATTTCTTGGAGACAGATGATATCATATGTTGCAGACAAGAGTTGTAATTTGTGTGTAGAACTTTGTACGCTTTGAGGGTAGGGATCAAGAATAATTGATTTTACATTAGCAGTTGGAAGAAACTGCCAGTCATTAGCACAAAGTTGGGCCTGCTTGTCATAAATAGGAAGTTGGGTCTGTTTGTGTTTTTTGTTAATAGATTTAACAGGTTTCTCAAAATCAGCGAATAAATTATGTAACTTTTCACTGATCAACACCATGAATTGATTCAAAAAAGATTTTAGCTCAATAGCCATATTATTAACAAGCTCAGTCAGGTACAAAGCATAGGTATCAAATTCAACAGAGTGAGAACTAGTGGAATTTAAGTTGCTATTTACATTAATTGAATTGCTTGTGGCACAAAGATCGAGAATGTCAGCCTGCATGCAGTGTATCTGCTGCGATATATTAGTGACATCCATGTAATCAGTGTCCACAAAGGGAAGACGTGACAAATCTTTTGCATTAAATTCAGGGCATTTTATTTTGGTAGCATTGTTCGGAGAAGTTATGTCAAGTATCAGTCTACAGATATCTTGGACATCTTTAATTTTTTTATTAGCACCTTTATGTTTTGACAAACGCTTGGATTCAGTAATCTTTTTAACAAGATCTATTGACAAAATGGTTGCAAGTGCTATTTGAATTTCTTCATCGGTAAAGAAGCGAGAAATGATCTTAACCAAAACTTCAAAAGGCAAAACATCAACTTTGTTGAAAACATAGCACACATATATATATATATATATATATATATATATATATATATATATATATATATATATATATATATATATATATATATATATATATATATATATATATATATTCTTATTGCACAGGGACAAAAAGTTTTAGTATGTGTTTTTTTCCGTGTAATAAATAAAGGAAGGTAGAGCGCAGAGAATCTTTTCAGAGCTATTGAATAAGGTTATCAAAAAGCTGAATGAATTTTCTATTAATTTTTTATGCTGCGATCATTTATTGAATTCCCACAAGCAAAATTAAAACTAAATTCAAACAAATATATTTTTAATTATGCACAAAATTCACAGTTAATGAATTCACAATATTTACACATATAGTCTTTACTAACATATGAAATAGAAAATTTATTTTGGCATTGTGGTGAGAAATTGAATTATTAGTTATGATTTTCAATATTATTTTGATAAATTTTAACTACTAAACCAAATAAAATTTGTAAACTTTACTGCAACCATTGTAATGTAAAAAATCATAAAAAAAACATAAAAAGATTCAAGAAACAAACAAATTTTGATATTATTTATGAAAAAAGATATAAAATGTTCCAAGTCTTTTTGATAAAAGACTCAACAAATTAATAAAAATTAAAAAAGATTAAATAATTTATCTACAGATAGTTATATTGATAATATTAAACGATATTATATTAACAAGTTTATTTTTATTAAAAAAAAAAACAATTTATGGTTAAAAAGTTGGTGCAACCAAAGCTAAACAGGAAGAATACTCCCTTAAGATTCAAGAGTCAAATTAGAAGAAAATTTCTGAACAAATAGTTCTGCTCCATCCTTGGGATAAGTAATAAGGTCAGTCCCATGAATATGTGATGGAATGTTTGACCATAGATTCCCATAGATAATATGTTAGACCTTTGTTAATGACACTGTTGAAGTGTAATGACACTGTCTCACCTTTTTACAATAATTGACATTGTTTCACCTTTTTACAATAATTTCTTAATGACATTGAATAATTACGTAATGACACTGTTTCACCTTTTTACAATAATTTCTTGCAATAATAAATAGATGTTTGTTCTCAAGAGAGAACAAACATCTATTTATTATTTTTCGAAAAATATGAAGAAAAAAAATGATTTAGATAAAGCTGCTACACATGAAAAAGTGAAAGCCATGGAGTAGAATGAGGATTGAGTTGGAACTGATATGAATAAGAAATTCCATCCTGCTTGGATATAGAAGACACATTTATCAGTGGAGAGAGAAAAAACAGCCTTTGGAACGAATTGAAGAAAATTACAAAAGGAATTCCAGTTAGCTTTAGGGTAGTAGTAATAAGTAGTGTGATGACCATGAAAATCAGTCAAAAAGTTAACTATTTGAGAAAAAGATTAAGAATCACAGAAAGTATGGGCTTTAGTGCCAGCAGGGTCAGTGGTGTTAGAACCAACCCATTCAGTGTGATGAGTAAAGTCACTAATAACAAAAATATTTGCAGAGGGGTAAAGAAAAAGGGCATGGTCAATTTAATCAGAAATTACATCTAAAAATAAGCGCAGTCTTAAGAAAAAGGAGAACCATAAAGAACAATAAGAATGGTGATAGAGTGAACAGGTGGTAAATGGAATGACATAAAAGAATGGTCAGAATATTCAATCCTGATTTCTTGACAAATAGGTGAACCGATGCACAAATATAAGCCGATATGACTACTGGTCTTTGCAAATATTGAGATCTGGAGAAGGAACAGCCAAATTTAATACAGTCTCACAAAGAGCAAGCAAATCTGGTGATTTTATAGGAGGTAAACTTCAACAAATAGAAGGTTGAAAACTCCACAAATGTTTGTGAAAAATATATTGAAACAGGTGATAGTGATTGTTTTCTATGTTTAATAAAAAACAATCACTATCGCCTATCTATCTAAATGGCTTATTTATAGATGAAGCACAGCCTCCTAAGCAATGAGCTATGTAGTTTTCTCAGTTAATTAACATAAAGTCATAATTTAGGGCTCCTTATGTAGCCTCTACAAAGTAAAGCAAAAGCACAAACAGGAACCATATATATGTGCAACATGACACAGTTAGTACTCTGATATTTTAAAGCTGTTGTTGGAATCAGCCTCTCTGAGAGCTCCCACAGAGTTTAGGATACCTTACTACCAGATGACCTCAGAACTAATAAGCTGAGTTTTAGAGCTGTTCCCATCAATAAGAGATAACAGGAAGAGTTGGACAGCCGCTATCAGGGAGGCACAAGCAAAAATCTATGAACAGACTCAAGAAGATTCAACATCGATCATCCTAAACAGGAAACACAGGTTTACATCTACGCTAACCTAATGGATGAAAATGGGGTGTAAGGCTGGTTAACAAAATTATTCTGCTTACCCCTAAAGTCTTTTCCTTGGAGGCCTTCTATAAGACAGTGCCTGGATGCAGTTATCGTCTGCCTAAGATGAGTACTTTTATCAAGACACAATCTCTAGCCTTTACTCAAACAAGAACCCTAAGACGGGTGATTTTTAAGAAGGAGTTTATATTTCCTAGCCTTTGCCTAAAAATCCAAACCCTATAGGACAGTTGACATTAATTGGTAAATGATTTCACATTGCATCAGAGATTTAAACAGAATATAAACATAAATATAGAACTTATAGGTGAGCAAAGAGGTTCAGACAGAACAAAAAGAGATTCAGACAGAATAAAAATAAACATATAGTAACTTAAGGGTGAATGAACACTGCACCTGAAGTTCAGACATAACACAAACATAATATTATAATATTGTTTTTTCTTTTTTTTTCAATAATCTTTTTTTTCTTGAAAAATTTTAAATATAGAAACATTTTTAAAAACTCTGGAAAACTTATTAATAGAGCCATTTTTTCTGAATAAAAAATATGGCTGTAATATGCTGTGAACTGTTTTGATTATAATAAATCACGTGATAATCAAACTAGTTTGTCAGTCTAGTAATCGGGTTTCAAAGAAAATCTTTGAAACCCGATTACTAGACTGACAAACACATTGGATGTGTTTTGTCCAATGTTAAACACATGTTATGATCAGTTTTATGTGGGATTGTAATAATTATCTAACTTATATTGTATCTTCAGTTGATCAACTTTAGTATTTTTGTATTCAGATTTCCATATGGCAACTATGAAAAGAGTTGCACAAAAATTAAAAAACTACATAAACAAAAAAATGTGTAACTGACTTGTTGCGACTAATTATGCAGCTATTCTGCTGATGGGGAAAAGTTTTGAAACTAAATTGTCACTTAAAACCTTTTAAAACTCAAACTCTTGCTGATCTACATTAAAATTGATTAAAACAATAAAGGAGTGCTGTTCGGTACAGATCGTATTGCTGGTAACATAGTTTTACAAATGAAAAAGCTGTAATAATATTTAAAAAGATCCAAAAAGTTTTAAAACCTTTTTAGATAATATACCTCTCTATTGACTCATTTTGCATTACAGAGAAAACAGATTGGAAATTTTGTTTCATATATGTAATAAATTTATTTAGAACTATAACTTGTTATTTAAATTTTTATGCAGCAGTATAGTTTTAAAAATAGGGGCTACAAAGTAGTTTAATGTTAGACTTTAATAACACCTAAAAAGGAAATGTGTCTTAAGATTAATAAAAAAGACTTTAACAGGACCATTGATGATACTATTTTATCCTCCAGCTACAGAAGGCTTAGGTCACGTTGAAGGGATAATACTGAACTATTGTAAAAAATGGTCATAAACAATTTGGAGCTGACCCAAGAAAACCACTTTTACAGTGTGAAACTACGATGTTTCGTGATTCCAAAAATGTTTAAACCTTTAAATTTCTCAATATAAAAAAATTTAATGATAAAAAAATTACCCTTCTTGCCACTTTGCTAACTCTTCATCAACAATTGACTTTAAGCTTTTTGGGCAAAGTCCTAAAGAATTTCCACAAAAGTAAATGCATTCGTCTTCGCCATTAACGATGTTTAAATCAACTGAGATTAAAAAGATATTCTGTTATATTCATTATTTAAGAGAAGCTATTTTTAATATTAAAACTCATTTAATTTTATGAAAAAATATCATGGCTTAGTTAACTAAAATGTTAGCTAACTTTTTTAATTACTAACTAGTTAGTTATCTAATTATACTAATTTGTTAACCAAGATTAGGCTTAAATTGGAAACTAAAACAATAAAATATTTGAAAAAAACTTCGTGATTTAATCTTACACGTAATCTAAAACTTTATCAATCTAACATTTTACCTTCGAGCAAAGCTTTATTTTTAGGGTAATAGAATTCTTGTCTCGTGTATTTTAACTCATCATTATTGTTAAGATACTCTGCAAATTGGCGGCTTTCAATCAGGTGACCGCATTCCAAAGATTTTTTGCAAAAATATTCAACAGGCAATAAATAATTACTTACAGACATTCTTAGAATAACTTTTATTAAATTTATATATATATAACTTTCGATTTTACTTTGTTTACCAAAAAGAATTTTTTCGTTGGGTAGATGCGAATGCGGACCGTTTAGTATTCGGTTTTTCCAAATGAAAGCACGTTTTCATGGAATTTTCTTTTGGTTTATTTCGCGCCAAAAGTTTCCAGTCGATTTATGGCGTGGGTTAGACGATATTTTGTCTGACTTATGCTGAAAATATTTGAGTACAAATTGTCTGAAACCGTGTCGAAAATTTTTTTAAACTCCTTTAAGTTTGAGCACTAAATAAATTGCGCAGTTTAAAATTAGAAGTTCTTTTTTATGAATTATATTTTTTAAGACAGTAATTCGACTGACATTGATGGATGAGATGGCAATTAAATTGTTGTCTCAAGAAGATATTTTAATGTCGGAACTTTTCAGCTATGGAAAAAACTGTACCAACAGTACATTAAAAAACATCTAGATTTTTGTGCGTAAGCCTGGTCATCCCTTTTCATAGCAGAAATGACTCTTATCCAACCAGTGATGGATCAAGGGGGGGGCTAGGGGGCTATAGCCCCGGGCCCCCAATTTAGGGACCCTAAAAAATTTTAGAGGACTTTTTTTTTTTTTAGTTATTTTTAGGCTCTGGCCCATAAAAAGGCCTCTAAAAACAAAAATAACCCCGGGCTCCAAAAAGTCTCAATCCGCCACTTTATCCAACAACAAAATTCAATATTGTTCAATTTATTCTACAACTACATCATTTTTTTTTTACGCTTTCCCGTCAAACTCAATATATTTATTTAAAAACTTGTTTTTTAAAAAACCGTGGGGCGAGCCGTTGGAGGTTTGGAGGCGCATGATAAAGTTAATGCACATACAGTACGTTAACTATATTTGCTTTCTTTCATCAATAAAAAACTTTTTATGTAAAAGTTTGATTATTGTAATAAATAAAAATCGAAGTTCTTTTTGTTTTCAGCTGCAGTCCCGCTAGATGAAAGATCCTACTACACAAGCTTTTGGATACCAGATGTTCAGCTCAGATTTCCACGATAAAACTAATTTTAAAAAAATCGCATAAAAGTACTGCTGCTCTAAAGACGTAGGTTCAACCAAAATACTGACTCATAATGAGCATATGGTTTGTCTTGGCAATGAAACATAATTTTTTGCAAATCAACTGATGATAAAAAAATTACAATGAACTATGATGTTCAGTTTTTTTGAAAGTATGAATGGAAAAGTAAACTTATTAGAAAAAAAAACGCAATCATTAACTTATAGTGCATGCTTTCAGTTAATTATTGTCAACTTATAGTCAACTTATAGTATAATAGTGTTTTCAGTTTTAAGCTATGTATATTCATGCGGGCGCCTAATTGCCTCTATACTTTAGGCGTCATAAAAGCCCTCCCAGCGGCTTAGATGAGCAAAGCGAATTCCTGATTGATTAAAAGTTTAGATTACTGCCCTGAAACTTGGAATTCTTTGATCAATCTTTGAACAATTAAGTGACGAATTTTAGTAATGATGAAACCATAGTCATAGTATTTAACTAGTCTGGAAACACGGGCCGTTTTCTTAAAACACTTAAGTTCCTCTCGATACTAATGCTTAGCCTACTTTAGAGTGCATCAAATTGTAAACATTGTATTTTGCTACAGATAAGTTACATATATTCTGGGATAAATATTAAAATGGCATAAACAAATTGTGATTTTTTTTGTTATTCAGTTTCAAGTTAATATTTTGGATTGCATATATATTTCGTATTCCGAATAAAAATGATAAATATAGCATAAAATAAAGACATCAATTGTTGATAAATAAAGTTATGTGACAGAGTTTGTATTGGTATAAATATGCTTATTCAACCATATAGCTTATATCATATAAGCATTTAAGTTATATACTATATGAAAATATGTTATAGATGCAAACATTTTATCGACTGTATAACTTGATGGATGTATATGGGTATAAATGCTTTGTATTATATTCAGAGTATATTTATTTAAAATGTTAGCTAATATAGCTTAATAAACTCTATATTCTATATATAGTTTACTTAGCTGAATTAGTTGATAATTTATATATCACTCTTTACACTATGTTGGTATCTTTTCCTGAAACAAGAAAAAATCAGGTACAATTTTATCATTTTGAATGGTTTCAAAGCTTAATTAGATAATGTTGGTATCTTTAAAGATGTGTTATACCCTTAATACAGCATATTTATCTACCTTAGAGAGAAAATTATATCTTAATTATTACCTAAATTATATTGATGTTCGTATATTTTTTTATCTCTGGCTAATCGTTATTTAATTACTCTGAGTCTGTTTTGTGTGATAGCTATTGTCTCTACTTACCAGGCAAGATTTATATGAGAACATACTATTTAGAGTTATATATTTTTTATCATACTTTCGTTTAACTACTTTCGTACTAACCACAAAACATCTTAATTTAATATCAATGCTTATGAGTGGTATTTACTTATATTTATAATACATATTTCAGCCATAAAAGAAACGGTAAGTTACTATTAATTATTAATTACTATTTTCTATTCGCCTTTTTTTTATTTCTACACATTATAATTGTTTATTTACACACGTGCATACGTACATGTGTACAAGTTTGTTTCTTCTAATGTACCTCATATTTATATGTGTTTACATATCTGTTTTTGGTCACACCACGCGCATTCCTCACCACCCTCACGAGATCTCTTAGAATGTTGGAGCTGTTTTCAAAAACTGGAAGAGGGATTGGTTTTTTGGCTTTTGTAGTGTAGTCCTATTATATTGCAATATTGACTAGCATGACGTAAAGTGCAGGCGGTGAGATCTGTTGCAAGGACACGCCCCTGACGAGTGGCGTTAGTGCAGGTCTCGGGCTCTCCGAAATGTCATTGGTGATCGCAGTGCATTCCTGAGGAGGGGGATCACCATTTATCCACTACTTAATTCTAATTGGTTATTATGGCACCAACATTTTTTTACCTCTTAAACCCATGTATTTTTTGCGCTTTGTGAGCTTTTTATTATGAATTTGTTACATTAACGACATTTATATATTTTATATATATATATTTTTTTATGTTACGCAGGTGATTATCAGTTATCAATTTTTTATCTAGAGTTCAGAACATATATAGTACCACATTTATTAGACACTTGTATGGTGCGATTATTTTAGTTATGAATACCATTATAAACCAGCGGATTTTTATTGACTTGATTACTCATAGATCATTATTTCATCATTTGTTAAAAGATGACTAGAGTGTGAGTTTTTATTCCCCTTTTCCTGAGTTGCTAACTTTTACTCTTCCAACTAAATAGTCTTTGCATTAATTTATGTTTTTTTTTTTTTTTTTTTTTTTACCTAAATGACATCATCTTCAATCTGTTTTTATTTTCACATCTCCCAGGTCTATGTAACTGGACGGCTCCGTTGGTCACTTTTTGCGATCATTGTGTCGCATAAACAAACAAAAAAAAAAAAAAAAAAAAAAAAAAATTTATTCTTTGTGGCTGGTGAGCCCCGACTTTTTCTAATGTACACCACAACGACAAACGGACATTAGGCTATCCCGCTGGATGTGGTTACGGCGCTCAATAACCTAATGACTACGCTGACACTCACGCACACGTTCAGTCGGAAGCTCCGCAATGTACGTCGAATCAGCGCTCGCTGACTAAGTGCTCGGATCTGAAATCTCACTTCATAGCACATCATTCCACACCAGCACGGGGCAGTAGCTCTTTTGGTTAAGAGTGATGGCTTGTGGCCTACGGTGACTAATGTGTGCATTCGATCAGTTGAAATCCATTCTGTAGGTCTTACGTCTGGCTCTGATGTGCTGGCCCATAAGCGCAAGAAGTGAGTGTGATTAGCTTTCTATTCACCCGATTTGAAAGTGAACGGAAACATAACGAGACCATACTAGACGACAAACGGTACGTACTAATGCACTACACCATCACACCTGTAGACATCAACAGTCTTCAAAATCAGTATATCAAATATTTGTTCTTTGTTACATATGCTCTACATACAGAGTGATTAGAGTGTTAGTTGTTCTCTCCTTGCCCTCCGAGCATTTACTTCGTTCTTTACCTTCACAAAAGTCTTATCGCTCATTTTGTATTTTCTTATGATTTTTTATTTTTTATTCAATGACACCATCTTCTAACTGTTTTTATTATCACATCTCTCAGGTCTACAAAACTGGACGGCTCCGTTGGTCACTTGTTGCGATCATTGTGTCGCATAAACAAAAAATTATATCTTAATTATTAACTAAATTATATTAAAAATAGTGATTTGTTGTTTAATTTTCTACCTTACAAGGAAAAAAATTTTTACTTTGAAAGATATAATTTTTTACCTTAGAAGGTAGAAGATTTTACCTTACTATGTGCATATCACATATTCTACCCTACGGTAGAACTTCTACCATTTTTACAAGTGCTATACTAACAATATATGTTGTGCAAAAATATTTTTCAATATTATTAATAAGTAAAAAACTTAATCAGTAAAAAAATTTAGGATTTTAAGAAATACTTTAAAAATAGCTAGTATATCAAATCTTAAACTAAAATTCAAAAGCTCGTATATAAATTTTTGTTTTTATTATGCTGTATTGCAATTTATATAACAGCAAATAAAAAAAATATACTTGATGCAATAAAGATTATGCAAAAGTCTGCTACCACTACTGCTATCACTATCATACTTAAATCAAATTTAATTTAATTATAAAAAAAGTACAGAGTATTAAAAGAAGATTGCAGAATTATTTTAAATCTTGATTTTAAACTATAATTTAATATCTATTTTGTTGAATGCAGAAAAATAATATCTTAAAATCTAAGGTTATTTTTAACTAATATAAGATATTTATGTTAACTTTTTAGTTTCAAAGTCAGCTGCAGTGTATGATGATATACTTGACTAATCAAGACGATATACTTGATTTTTACAACTGGTGCCACTGCATGACTAATGTTTCTTTTGCTTTAGAAAGCAATCAAAATTTCTTAAAACTTGTTGCTTGTAACTTGCGATGTTTATGCTAATCGCAAGTTGTT